CGTTTAGTGTACTAGTCTTACGTCATGTGGACTAGGTTGTTGTGCGCACAGAAGAGCGAGGCCAATCCTCCACTCTGAAAAGGTCATCGATCATGTCCACAATTGCTCAAGCCATCCGGCACGGGGCTGCCTCTAGCCTTCCTGCGCGCGACCTCGGCCGGGTTGTGCTTGCTTTTCAAAGCGGCCTCTCGCAGCCGTCTCCGGTTGGTTTAAGGTGATCCGTCGTCGCCACTGTTGTTTGCCGTGGAGCTCAAGTGCCAGCTCCTCGGTCGCACTGGGGATCACGATCAGCGACATCGCACAATATTGTTGACTGCAGCTCCGTGGGCCCGGCGCAGCGTCGCTCACGACGCAACTCGAGCTAGTCGGCTCGTTCTACACATTCTCGGGGTCTAAGACACAGAGAGCGAAGGGCAATGCTCCGTTGACGGCATCCAAAAAGCCAAAGCAGGGCAGCAAGCCAACGAAACAACGACGTGAAACATGAGTTGCTGCATTTTTAGCGACTATAACAATCTATAAACGCAAAGTAGGGTGTGTGTTGGTATATATATTTCGTCTACTACAGCTACAGTGTTTTATTGCATTGTAAACCCCGTGATTTCCATGTTGATCACGAGCGTCAAGTACGTCGCAAGCTCTTCCTTCGAGTCATAGAGCGGTACGTCGATGCGGTTGAAGCACGTGTGCGCTTTCGGGTACAGTCCCGTGGGGGGCACCCCCCGAGCAACCACCTGGACGCCAAATCGGCGTACGCGCCCGTCGTTGCTCAGCAAGCCCTAGTCGCCTCTTATGTTGAACAGGAATCGACATGACAAAGATGTACCTTGAAGCCTTCGACAGGAACGCGCGAGGTACCTGTGACAAATTGCAAGAGGCGCGCACGCTGCTCCTGCGTAAAGTCCCGCACCACGATCCAAAACCACTCGACAACGCGCTTCTCGAGCCGCGTCGGGTGGTCGAAATCCTGGTACTTGACGTCCGCATGGCGCTCCCAGTCGTCCACGTCAATGTTGGGCACGCCGCAGATGAGGAGTTCGAGCTCTTGGTAGTCAAAGGCCGAGAGGAGGTTGCGCGGAATGACGTCATAGATACCCTTGAGCAGCGCCGTGATGTGGTCTTGGACCGAATCAAACATGTAGTGCTTCAAGAGCAAGTTGAGGTATTCGTCCTTGTTGGCGTCCGTCACGGGGATCGCTGCGCCGTTGGGCTTGAGCTCGATCGGCGGCAATGGCTCTCCGTTGGCGTCGAGCGTCTGCACGGTAAAGTCCAGGCAGAGGTTCTCGACGTTGCTGTTGGTGCGCAGCCAGTTGGCATTCTTGCACAGCTCTTCGTCTGCTCCATCATAAATATATATATATCGATTGGTCAAAACTAACAAACCGTACCGAGAAATTCCAGGTCCGAAAACGAAATCGGGACGCCCAAAATGTGCTTGAGCAGCGGCAACGCGAAATGCACTGTGAGCAGCTGGCCTTCCAAGAGGCACTTGGCGATGAGACGGCCGATGAATTCGTAGCATTTGAGGTGGTCGTCGCGGAGCTGCGCCGCGTTCGTGTTGAACCAGTACCTAGACATTGCGCTGAAAACACAACATTCTCGAGATGGCATACCCAAGGTTCTCGACGTGCGTGGCCTGGAAGAGCCCATACGACTCGTCAAAGAGCCGTTCGCAGAGCAAGAGCACCCACTCCCGGAGAAGACCGCCCGCGTCAAGCCCTAACCGCAGCTAAATGTCACAACCCTAACCCGACGTGATTGTACCTGGCTCATCGATAAACTCGATGCGGAGGCGTTGGCGAATGTCCGACGCCGGCACGAGCATGAGCAGATGCAGCGATTCGTCCAAGACAGCGTCGCGGCGGATCTCTATCAAATCATGTAAATCAGAAAAAATCGGAAAAAAATGGAAAATCAAACGAGGCGTACTGAGGAGGAGGTGACCTTCTTCCCATGGCACCGCCACCTTGTCGAGCTCTTGGAGGAACCAGCGCACCTTGTGCCGAAAGGGCAGCGACGCGACAAACTCAAAGTCGATCATCGACGATGCGCGGGGGAACTCGTCCGTGTCGATTTGAATCGCCTCCGACATGCGCACCGAGTCGGCGGGCACCCAGAGCACCGCACCCGACGCATCCATGTCGCGCACATAGCCCGTGGAATCCTGGGTGATGAGCGGGATGCGCGGTAGCGACGGCTTGGAGGTCACACGGAGCTCGGTCTCGACGCTGTCGGCGTCCGTCGTCTGCGAAAACGACGTGCGCGCCTGCATGTCAAAGAGGTACCGCTCGGGTGCGTCCGAAGACGACTCGGACGACGTGTTGGTCGCCGTGGCCGCGAGCACGCTGACGCGCGGCTTGCAATCTTCGATGCGCACCCAGCGCAGCTGGCCGTCGTCGCCCTTCTCGCGCTTCCAGAGGTTGCGGCGCCGCGCGCCTCGTTGGCGCTGGTTGAGGTGCAGGTTGTCTTGCATTTCGTTGAGGCGGCGCACGTGGAACGACCGCTGCCGCGCAAGCTGGAGATTGTTGTTCTCATCGGGCGACGTTGCGCCGTTGACCCGTATTCTCGGCGTCGTGACGGCTTGCTGCGAGACGACTAGATATACAGAGTGTAATGGCGTAGGGTGATGGCGGTCGCGATGTACCTTGGGGCGTGCCGCAGAGAAGACACTCGCGCTTCGCCGGGTGGTTGTCGTGGTAGCAGATCGAGCACTGCCACTCGGACTCGCCGTTCTCGAGGAAGCTATCGATGAGCGAGTGGCGCTGCATGTTGTTGTTGAGATTGTCGTTCTCGACATAGCGCTGGAGGCGGCGCTGGTGGTAGCAGTACGCAAAGAGGCTCATGACGCCCACAAACACCATGGCGCCGAGGAAGATGTAGATGTAGATGGCCAGGTCTAGGACTGCGTGAGCGCCATGTAGCCCATGGCTTCGACCTACTTCCGTTGATGGTCGTTGGCGTCGACACCTGAAGCCGACGGCGCAGCGGCGTCCCATGCAGCTCCATCGCAGTCGGGCGAAAAGCACTTGGCGGAGGACTCCGAAACGTGACCAACGTTAATCTTCGAAGACCAAACATTACACTATTTCACGTTTCTTGATGCTCGAAATCGTGTACACGTACACTATATCCGTTCACTGGGTGTCAAGGACTCACTGCTGGCGTTCTACCGGCGTACAAGGACGTGGATGCATCTCATTTCATCTATAAACGCTTGTGCATGCTCTTTCTATCGCATCGCTTCTTGGCAAATCTTGGTAGCATCGGTGCAGGCATAGCTACACTATATGCGTGGAATCGTAATAGCGTTTTTGGACCAGATGGTCGCTCGTAAACCGAGGGATCTATTTTTGGCGCAAGTTCAAGCTTTTGGAGGGTGTAGGTTTTCTTTTTATATTTGACTACCATACAAATACCTAGCTTACTTTTTAAATAAATATTCTCCCGGCTGGCGGCTTCATGGGGCTGCCCAAGCACCCCTTTTGCAGATGCGAGACGACGTCGGCCGTCGCGCCTCCACGATGGATGCACTTACCCTTGGTCATCCGTTCTCTCTGGTCTCACTCGCGTTTTTGTCCCTTCTCTGGCGTGAGCGATGATGGCTCCCAAGTACGAACAGTCCAATGACAGGCGGCAAGTCGCCAGACGATGCATTATACAAAGGTGACTCCTTCAGCACCACCTTTGGGAAACCGCCAACGGTACTTGTATTTCCCGTGATTTCCCGTGTATTTTCAGCATAGAAATGTGACGTGTCGTCGTCAGGTGAAAAGATTGTGCTAGGGCTACAGTATCGCGCAGTCGAGCTGTCGACGCTAGTTTGCCAACTTGTTAGTTTGCGACGAAATCCCAAATTATACTAAGTTAATAGGAAGTCTACATTAGCAATCGCTTCTAATGTTCATGTTACGACCACGAAATCTTCGGCGCTGCCCATCAATTTTGTCATCCGCGTGATCGCACTCGTGGTGAGAGCTCGAGCTCCGCCACGCAATGTTCCTGCGCGTCCCAGAGCGAAATGGCCTGCGCCGCCGCCAGCCACGTATCGCGCGTCGTCCACTGCAGCCACGGACTCGTGCGCGAGTCCAATGGCGCGCCTTTACACCGCCGCTGCAAGTGCGCATCGCAGAGCCCCACCGAGGTCGCAGCCGCGAGGAGGAAGCCTACGCACGCCACAGTAATGGTCGATGCAGTATGGCAAAGGTGTACCCGACGGAAATGCAAAGCGGAGGACGTAGCCGTCAAGGTCGTCGCGCGTTTGCACGACGCAGCCGGTCAGATCGAGGTCGACGCGGCTACACCTTGTTAGACACGCGAAGCGACGATGAAAGGACCACCTGCGGTTGCGAATGTGCAGCGCCGCGTGCTTGAGATGTAGCTGGACGCAGTGACGATGGCGTTCGCGGTGGCAGCGTTCGCGGGCGACGGCAACAGGGCGCGGACGCCAATGGCGCTGCATGGCGGCCACAAGGAAGCAAATGCCGGTCAGCACAAGGCTTAATGCAATCGCGTCTTCGACCAGATGCGTCGTGTCGAGGCACAGAGGCATGGGTTCTGTCGGTTGCGACGTGTTGTGAAGCGCTAGGGGGAGCGGGGCGAGAGGCAGCGGTGTAAAGCGAGGCGCACACGTTGCAAGCTGGTGCTGGAGCGCCGAGACCTCGGCTGTCAAGTCGTCAATGCGGGCTGCTTGGTCGAGCGATCGGTTGGCAAGCTGCTCGAAGAGGACTACGCGCCACCACGTGGTGAGACAAATGACGGGAACGGACTTGAGCACCGAGTCGCTCCTGCGCCAGGGCCTAGAGCCAAGTGTCGAGTGAGCCGTGTATGTGTGTTTATACTTTGGACTTAGTAGAATGACGAGGATATAGTACCTGATGTCGGGCTCCCCACGCGGCCACGTCGATGGCCCGGATAGTCATGACGCTAAATGCGTTTCACCCACAACGATGGTTTCCGTCGCCAAGGGACTTTAGTCGACTATAGTATGCATATCAACGTTGATCTAGAAGCTCCCGTCTCAATTACTTGGTAGTACGACGGTGTGCAGCTTGTCGAAGCGAGTCGAGGTACTACTAGAGTCCCTCCTCCTTCCGAGTATGCCCAAGCCGCCGAGCTACCCTACACCTAGCTATAGCGTCCACCACGGGCAAGTACAACGACGATATACCATTTCCATTGCAGTTGCCAAGCGCGTCGCCCGTTCCCGGTAACATCTATGCAGCGTCTTTAGCGTCCCACATCTCTGCGAGCGCCTTGGTCGTCGTGGCCTGCGAAGGCTTGCGAAGCAAAAGCGGCGTCGTTTCGCGGGGCGCCAGCAACGACTCGAGGTGGCTGCTGCTGCTGCTGTGCTGGGCCGTGATCGCGCCAAGGTGCAGCTCGCCACTCCGCGCTTCGTACAGCGAGCGCTTGAAGCTGTACTCTTGTCGCTGCCACTCGAGCGCGAGCCAGCGCGGGACGCTCCCGACCGTCTTCCAAAAGATCCAAATCAGCACAAAGAGCAAATGCTCCGTGACGAGCACCATGACGATGCGCGCCGTGAGTGAAATGCACGCAAACGACGGTCCAAAGCGAAAAGCCCCGCCGAGGACCATCGTCTCAGCGCACTCGGGGACGAAAAACTCGGCTGCGCCCGTCGAGACAAAGACGAGCGCCGTGTACACAACGACACCGACGCACGCGAGGACGACCAAGACCACGTACCACTCGCCAATGCCGTTGGCTTTGCGGGGAAAAGGGCGCTGGAGAGTCCGGACGAGGCGGACGCCGTCGGCGCGCCACTTGAGCGCGTTGATACCGAGGCACGCGAGTGGCATGAGCGGCCAGAGCATCGAAAACATGACAACAAATCCAAACTGGACGGCCGCGCAGTGGTAGTCTTCATACGGGTCGTACGTCGGCTGCTCGGCTTGGTACAGCACGTCGCGCGCGAGGCGGAGCAGCGCATCGAGGTACGGGCCACGTGAGAGGAACCGCGCGCGCGAGTCATTCGCGAGCGTCGCGTGCTTGCTCTCGTTGTCATAGTCGAGGGCGCCAAGGACGGCGCGCTTCGAGCTCTCGTCGTCGCGGATAATCGAGAGCGCTTGCTTGTCGGTGCGGGCGCGGACTGCGTGGTGCCGCCGCCGGACGCACCACGGCACCGCGACTGCAATGAGCAAGTTGAGGCCTTGCGTGACAATGATCGGCGTCAAAAAGAGCGTTTCCAAGTCCAAGTGCGCGCGGTCAAACGTGACCCAGCCAAGACACGGGACGCACTGCGCCGGGTTGCGTACAGTGCGGTGGCCAGTCCACGGCATCGGGCACGAGAGGCACACGTTCGCCGCCTTGTGCAAGTGCGGGCCAAAGCAGCAGTTGACCGGGTCCTTGTACAGAATCGAGTTGAGCGCGTTCGTGATCCAGTCGCCGGCGCCGGGCAGCACGTACACGAACGCGAGGAGGAAGAACCACGTGTAGTAGTTGAGAAAGTCCATGCAAAAGAGCTTCCGGATCAGCGACCGCTCGTACTGCTCCATCGTCTTCCAATTTTCCCAGCGCGTGAGGAGGCGCGCGGCGCGCGTGACAACCACGTTCCACTGAAAGACGTCGACGAACAAACCAAAGACGATACCACCGCCGAGGATCGTCCACCACTGGACGCTAAAGAGCCCAGGGGTCGGGTACCGCACTTTGAGACCCTCAAAGATCGTGAGCCACGCAGCGATGAAGAGCATCATGATGGCGATCTGGACGAGCATGAAGAGGACGACGGCTGCGTACGTTGGGTATCGCTTCCAGCCCGGGTACGAGAGATCCGGGAGGCCCGTGATCGCGTTCGTGCACGGAGTGCCGTGAAACGTAGGGTTGGGGTAAACCGTAAACGTCGCGTTAAAGTTGTTGCGCCAGTTGAAGTTGAGCTCCTTGGTCTTCCGCAGCCAGCTCTTGAGAAACCAAAAGCTCCAGACGACCGAGACGAGGAAGCCCCAGACAACAAGCACGCGCATGTACAGCACGACGCCTACACCGATAAAAAATGAGATGTGCAGTGAGTTGTGGAGGGCGACGACCGAGGAAGGGCCGCGCGATCGTGAGGAGGACGCCGACGAGCGCGATGGGGAAGAGCGACTTGTTGTAGTAGTCGAGAAAGCAAAAGTAGAAGGCGACCTTTTCGCCAAAGTACGTTTTGACGTGGGCACAGAACGCGTCCGACTGGATCTCCATCTCGAGCTTCGGGCTTGCAATGTACTTGGTGAGGAGCTCGTCGTTGCGCGCGGCGTCGTGCACAGGAAAGACGCGACGCACGTGCTTGGCGCTCTCGGTGATCTTGGCGCCTACGAGCCAATGCAGCGTGAGAAATGCCTAGAGAGAGAGGTTTGTCGACCTTCGCGGACCAAGTGGTCGACGACTTGGATACGATCCGCGGGGTTCATGCCCGCGTCTTCGAGCAGCGTCGCGTCCAGCTCCCGCGCGTTGCCGCAGCGCAGCCACATTTGCAGTTTGAGCTTCTTGGCGTGGCGCACGACGATCTCGTCCGGTGCGCGGACCAACAAGATAAAGTACGTGCCATCGACGGCCTCGATAACGTCGACATGCAGCCCTATACGCTTCGCACTCGCTGTGCGACAAGCTCAGTATGGTCGTACCGTGGTCGACGAGCGGCTCGACGAGGTGGCACTGGACGGCGTCGGCGTCGTCCGGCGTCAACGTGGTCGTGACGACCGCAAAGTCGTAGCTCGCGTGCTGGCGCGCGTGGGCCGCGCCCGTGAGGTACCGGTAAACGCCCTTGGGTGGCGGCCGCTTGGGCGAGTAGACGACGTCGTCGCCAAAGCGCATGCCCGCGATCGCGTCGCCCGCGGCCTCTTGCGGCGACGAGCTGCTATACATGCAAGATCTGGATTTGGGTGGAATTCCGTTGTGCCGACGCGCGCACGCTAATTCCACGCAACTGGCACAGCCCCTTTGGTGGATTGCCCGTTGAACGTGGCATTCCTATGTCTATTGCTATTGCGCAACTGGACGACAACGAATAGCCGCCATCTCTGTCCGGCTCTCTATCTTCCTCACGCTGAGACCGCCATCCTGGCGCGAGGCCCATGTCCATCACGGTCTCAACGGCAACTTCTAGTCAACGGAATCTCGTAGATGCGAGGTATCTTCGGCGGCAAGTCGGCTGGGGATGCCAGATCTTCGGCGGCAAGTCGACTGGGGATGCCAGCCACATCCAAAACGCAGCTGCAAGTGTACATGTCGAGTTGTGTTGCCAGGGTCGCGCCGTTGTCGCCGGAAGTATTTTCTGGCGCCTGCCCACCGAGGCCCCAACGCGCATCGTCAAGAGAGCTCAGGCAGTAGCTCGGTGGCAAGTGGCTGGATCTAGTAGAACAGAGAGGGTATCGCTGTCGTCCTGTACAGTGCTAGGGCAGGTCGGCAGCGTTTGATGGAGCTGCTGAAAATCCATAAATAAATTGAATATGGCATGGTGCGAGCTCTGAAGTCCAGTTCGCCTTTGAAGCGGAAGCGAGAGACGCTATTGCGTGCTTGTTGCGCTGTCCATTGGCGTGTGGGCATCGATCGCATGACGGTATTGGAACGCTATCGACGGATGCAAGGGCAGTGGCCATGCAGAAGGCGATGGTGGCCTGCAGCTCATATATGGCTGCTTCGTCCGGCATCGATATGGATTTTTCATGGACCAATCAGCGAGCGGACGCAATCTTTGGCATTCGTTTGCTGCCACAAGAAGACCATGCTGCAGCGCTTGTCGTCGTCTGCGCTCCGCCGGGCCGTGGTCCCGCGCGCGACCTTCGCCACCCAGAGCGCCCGTACGAAGCGGCTGTCCATGGCGCCATGGGCCTCAATGCTGCTGTCATGTAGGCTACCCCGACTTGATCACGGGCGACGCGTACAACAACGTGAGCGAGTCGATCGCGGCCAAGGTCGGCGTCAACCTGCACTGCCAGCCGCACCATCCGCTCAACATCATCAAGACCAAGATCGCGACGTACTTTGACGATCTCCACGCCCAGGGGTAGGCAGCGACGCCATGCAACCAACTCCGGCTTAGCACTGCCTTGTAGGCACCCCAAGATGCAGCTCTTCGACTCGCTCTCGCCGGTTGTCTCGGTCGACGACTGCTTTGACCAGATGCTGATTCCGAAGGACCACGTGAGCCGCAAGCCGACGGACACGTACTATCTGAACCCGACGACGCTGCTCCGCACGCACACGTCGTGCCACGAGGTGCCAATGCTGCGCAAGGGCGTCAAGAACTTCCTCATCGCGGGCGACGTCTACCGCCGGGACGAGATTGACGCGAGCCACTACCCGGTCTTCCATCAAATGGAGGGCCTCCGCTTCTTCCCGGAGCTCGACCCGACGACGCCGTACGACGACCGCGTCGCGCACGTCCAGGGCCACCTCAAGGCCACGCTGGAAGGCATGGTCGAGTCCATCTTTGGCAAGGTCGAGATGCGCTGGGTCGACGCGTACTTTCCATTCACGGAGCCGTCGCTCGAGCTTGAAATCTTCTTCGAGGTACCACCCCTCGATACCTCGAAGCTCAGCGTCCTCCGCTGCTAGGGCGAGTGGCTTGAAGTGCTCGGCTGCGGCGTCCTCCGCCGTGAGATCGCCGAGAACGCGGGCGTCGTCAACGAGGTCGGCTGGGCGTTCGGCCTCGGCCTCGAGCGCCTCGCCATGGTGCTCTTTGACATCCCGGACATCCGCCTCTTCTGGAGCCAGGACCCGCGCTTCTTGACTCAGTTCCAAGACGGGACGATCACCAAGTTCAAGCCGTACAGCAAGTTCCCGCCGTGCTACAAGGACGTGAGCTTCTGGCTCGGGCCGGACTTTCACGACAACAACTTGTACGAAGTCGTGCGCGACATTGCCGGCGACATGGTCGAGAAGGTCGAGGTCGTCGACGCGTTCGTGCACCCCAAGACGCAGCGCGAGAGCAAGTGCTTCCGCATCACGTACCGCCACCACGACCGCAACCTCACCAACGAAGAAGTCGACGGCATCCAGCTCATCGTGCGCGACGAGCTCGTCAAGCAGCTCGCAGTCGAGCTCCGCTAAACGCGACGGGTTCGAATACACTTTGTCTTGCTCGACGATGGCTCTTGGGTAGTGGAGTAGTAGCAGCTTACAGTGTAGAGTAGCAGCTTGTAGTAGCAAGCCGTAGTGCACTGTACGCTGATGCCAATCAGATTGAACCTACATTCTGCAAGATCCAGGCGCCGCAGATGGTCGTGGTCGTCCCGCGGCCGGAGCCGCCCACGTGGCAAGCGCCATGCACCCGAGTGGTGGCCGCTTGGTCATGTCCACATGCATTCCGTCCCGACCCCTCGCTGGCTGCGCCGTCGCCTGCCATGCTTGCGATGCCGGGGCTTGGCCATGGGCGCGGTGGCGCAAGGCGCGTCGGCTGGCGCTGGCTGGCCTCTTCGCCGGCGATCGCACTTCCGTCGGGCCAGGTGGGCGTTCGTTGCGCTCTCCGGCTCCTTGGGAGCGTGTTGCATACAATAGCAACGTTTTTTGTTGCATACAAACACTAAGTATAGGACGCAAAATATAAAAATGCGCTGCAACTCGCAAGCGGTTTTCGTGAGATCAGTTCTGAATTTCTGCCAAGACCAAGACAACGACGAACGATGCAACGAGGAGGCAGCGCGTACGGACTCGATAAGGAGCTCGCGACCAAGGCGATGGCCAAGTACGATACGAACGCCGAGGCCGAAGCGCGCGACTGGATCGAAGCCATCACGGGCAAGGCCATTGGGCCCGACTTTGGCCTTGGCTTGAAGGACGGCGTGATCCTCTGCGAGCTCGCCAACGTCGTCGACCCGACGAGCCGCATCAAGATCTCGGCGTCGACAATGCCCTTCAAGCAGATGGAGAACGTCACGGCCTTCATCCGCGCCTGCCGCGGTATGGGCGTCATGGAGTTTGACTTGTTTGAGACTGTGGACCTATTCGAGCAAAAGGACCTCGGCGTCGTCGTGCGCTGCCTGCACGCGCTGGGCCGCACGCTGCAGAAGAAGGGCACGTACAACGGACCTCTTCTCGGCGTGAAGGAGTCGACGCGCAACGAACGCACGTTCACCGAGGCGCAGCTCGCCGAAGCGCGCCACGCGACCTCGCTCCTCAACATGGGCAGCCAAGCGATCATGGAGCGCCCGAACATTGACGTCACGACCGGTGTGACCTTTGGCGCCGACTCGACGACCGACCTCCCGCCCGTCTCGTCGGGCTACTCGTCGCCGCCCACATCGTCGACCATTGCCGCGATCCCGACGATTCTGACCAAGAACGCCCAAGGCGCCTTCTCGTCCCCCGACAAGCCGCTGCAGCGCACGCCGTCCGCAAACAATGGCTCACCGACGAAAGCATCGTCCTCCGTGGCAGCCCGTTGGATGTCGGCAGCGCAGCCCAACAACACGACGCCGACCCCGTCGGTGACGCCACCCAAGCAAACGCCAGCACCCGTCCAGCGCACCCCGTCGGCTCAGTCTGTCACACCGCCGAAGCAAGCCACGCCGGCGCCTGTCCAGCGCATTCCGTCAACCCAGTCGGTGACGCCGCCCAAGCAAGCCACGCCGGTCCAAATCCGGGGCGGCGGCTACGGTCTGGATGCAGAGCTTGCGGCCAAGGCGGTCGTCAAGTACGACTATGCGCTGGAAGCCGACGTCAAGCAGTGGATTGAAGCCGTGACGCACCGGACGCTCGGCGAGTTTGGCCCGAGCCTCCAGAACGGCCAGGTGCTCTGCGTGCTCATCAACACACTGTACGCGATCTCGATGGCGGACGAGACGCCGATCAAGGTCGACGCGTCGTCGGTCGCGTTCAAGCAAATGCAAAACATCAAGCACTTTTTAGACGCGGCCAAGGCGATGGGCGTTGCATCTGTGGACGTTTTCGAGACGGTCGACCTCTTTGAGCTCAAGGACTTGGGCGCCGTCGTACGCTGCCTTCTGGCTCTGAACCGCGCCGTCGTCAAGAAGTTACCGGCGTACCCTGGCCCGGTGCTCACGGCTGTGGCCCCCGCCGCCGCTCCGTCGACACCGGCCAAGCCCGTTGCAACACCTATTGTTGCTACGCCGGCCGAGACACCGACGTCGTCGTGGACGGCCCCCGTGGCGTCGTCGTGGACGACACCGATCGCCAAGGCGCCCGAGACTCCGGCGGTCGAGACCAAGCCGGGCGTGAACGCAATGCTCCGCCACTCGTCCTCGAAAGGTCTTCCGACGCGAACCAACTGGCAGTAGCGTGTGGTTGTCTGGAATTATTTCTAATACTATTGTGATGGATCCGAAAACCAGTCTCGCACGTCACCAGACTGTCGTCGACTCCAACTGGCGCGGCTGGGTCAGTTCCCAGATCATGGCTGGTCGATCTCCAAGCCATACTCGATGTCCGTCTCATCGACGATACACTGTTGAGAGAGATAGCTCTGGAGCGAGAAATCCAAGTTCTTATTGTTAGAGATGGAGCGAGACCGTTCGTCACAGACCAAATGACCACCGAGAGTCTCTCCTGCTCATGCTGTAGTGACGCAGCTTGAGTGGCTCCTATGTTATCGCGGCTGTCGTTTGCGTCGATGATGGTCCAGACTGTACCTTGCGTGACTCCTTCACTATCCTCGCTGTCGCATGTTGACCAAGCAACAAGACGCGGTTATCGGTGAATTGGATGCGCCGATCCCATCAAGAGCCGTGTAGTAGAAGCCCTGTACGTGGCAAGTGGGTGCGTCAACGCTGTTCGTAAGGCGTTGCGAGTACGTACCCTACCCCTCGCCAACAAATCAGCGAGCCCACGAGCTCTGTCGACCTCGCCAACGGAAACGACTTCGAATGCGTTTAGCCAAGCGAACGAAAGTGACGTGGCATGCCGCAGTGCTCTTGACGCCCCGTCAACCGAGCATTGCAGTGTCGGACAGAAAACAAATATATATTTGCCCTTGCCCAGACAGTAGTCGAGTCCAATCGAATCGGAGCAGTACAACGGTAGCACACGGGCATTGCTGTTGCTTTTCATCAAAGAATGCTGTACTCATATCGATTTGTTGCGGCCGTTTAAATAGCTTGGTCGAAGTTTGGGGCCAGCGACCAAGCCGATCAGCACGGGTCCCACGACCGTCGGCGCTGCCTTACGCCACTCACTTTCCAATTCATCGAGTCCAATAATCATGCATCGGGTTCTCAGCCTGCTCGTTCTCTCGGTCGTCGCCGTCTCGGCCGAGCACCCCGCCACGGGGACCCCGGACCAGTCGGGCAGCCAGCACACGATCCCGTCTGGCAGCGGCAACGGCTTTCCCGACGTCGACACCCCCCACGCTGGCAACGAGTCAGACCATGACGAGCTCCGCCTCTTTGAACTCAACCACTTCAACGGCTCGGAAGACCGCCCCCATGGCCCCTTCAACGGCTCGGACGTCCGTCCGCACTTCAACTTCAACAGCTCTGACGACCACCCGCATTTCGTCTTCAACAGCACCTATGGTCGTCCGCACTTCAACTTCAACGGCTCGGATGTCCGCCGTCATGGCCCCGGCAATGCTTCCGACGACCGCCCTTTTGGACGCGGCAATGGCTCTGACGACCACCCGCATTTCGTCTTCAACAGCACCGATGGTCGTCCGCACCTTCCGTTCAACGGCTCGGATGGTCGTCCGCAGTGGCACCCGCACGGTCGCTGGAACAGCTCGGAGTTCGATCACCAAGGCCATCACTTCAACGGGTCAACGAACGGCCGCCCCATCGACGGCTTCAACGCGTCCGACGCGCCGCAGCACGGAAGCTTCCAAGCCTCTCTGCGCGGTTCCCGCTCGTCGAGTGGGAGCGACGAGTAAGTGAGCACCGTCCTTCCATGGCAGCTGCTATTGTTTGCCTGAAGTTACTACGTCTTCGATGACGATGAGCGATAACTCGGAACAATTCACAATATGTTTACACGAGATGATCTCGTCGAGAGATTAGTTGGTTTTGATAGAAATGCAGCGCCTCGTGACTTAGGCGTCCTTGGGCACGGGCAAAAGCGCCTGGTCGAGCTTGGCGAGCGTCTCGAGCAGCTTCTCGTACAGCGCCGTGTTCTCGCACTCGACGCGGTCGTGCGGCTGTTTCTCAAAGTAGTGGATACTGGCCATGGCCCCGCTCGGCGTGATGATCGAGATCACGTTCGTCGCGTGGTCGAGCTCCACCTGGCCGTACTGGTCCTTGAGAACGCGGTAGACCAAGATGAGCTGGAGGGCCTCCAGGTCGCCTTCGTCCGCGAGCGTCTCGACCGCCGCCTGCAACCCCTCGTCTTCAATCACATCGGCTTCGAGCGGCTCGACGCCTTCCTCGACCTTGACCGCCTCGTCCGATGCCTCGCTCGTCTTGGGGCGGTGGTCGTGCTTGCACGCCGCGTGGGGGTGCATGCTAATCTGCAGCACACATATCAGCTCTTAGTCGTCGGCATCGAGAGTTGCGTACCTTGAAGCTCGCGGGACTCGCCTGCGCGTGCATGGTCAGCGCGACCACCGAGTCGGCAATCATGTCGGCTGTCGGCTCGGCGCTCCACTCGATGAGCACCTTCTCCGGCGGGCAGTGCGTCACCATGACTTGTCCGTTGACGACGACCGTGTCGGCCGTCACAGTTACGTCCGCGTACATTTGCTGGATCATGGCCACGAGCACGTCAAACGGCTGGTGCACAAAGGGCACTACACGCTCTCTGTGAGCCCCACAAGGATGATGTGATGTCGGTACCGTGCTGGCGCTGGGCGATCGTGCCGACGAGCAAGTTGGACGTGTACTGCGCGAGGTCGTCCTTCTCCATGATGTGCGTGTGAAAGTCGTGCTCGACGAGGAGACCGCTGATCGGGATCTTCTTGTCGACGGCCTTGAGCTTTTGGTGGCCGGCAATCGTGGTCGCCATCCTACATGACACGTTGACCATCATGCTGACGAGACGAGTCGACCGTACGTGCCAATGGCCTTGGCCATCTTCTCGCCGCGAAACTCGAGCACAATCTCTTGCGTGTTGGCCGGCGTGTGGATCGTCGGCGCGTACACCTTGGGGTTGTGAAACTTCTTGTGCAACGCCGACTTGAGACGCATCATTTCATTCTTCTCGCCGTGGACGAGCACAATGTTGGGGGGCGCCACCTACGTAGCAATGTATTAGTCGTACTACAGAGCAGAGATCGACTAAGTACCTTTTCGATAAAGCCCGACGTGCCCACAAAGTCGGCGTGGGCCGAAAAACTAATGTACTCGACCGAGCAGTTCATCGGGAGGAGGCGACCGTCCATGGCTGTGATTTCCGTCGGCTCGGACAAGATCTTTTTGGCCAGCGTGCCCTCGACCACGTAGCCTACAAACTGAGCATTTTGGTTCTGTGTACAAAGGTGTACCTGGAATCAAGCACGCGTTGCGCTTGTCCGTGCACCACCGCTCAAAGAGCTGGCGCGAGACGCCCGATTGCAGCATACCTAGACCGTCGTTATCGTCTTTGACTGGGAGGCGAAGAAAGGACGTACCCGGCGAAGCCATGACGACACTCGGGCCCGAGTCGTCGAAATCCTCGAGGCTCTTGAGGTTGTGGATGTGCTCAAACTGAAACGGGTTGGAGATTGAGATTTGCTTGCGGATGCGGTCGTTCATCATGTTGATGTACGTCTGGTACACGCGCAGCGCCTTGGCCGCGAGCTTGGAGGCAAAGTAGATGGGCACGCCGTGCAGATCCGGGTGTTGCTGCCAGTGCTCGTCGAGGATCAGCAGCAGCTCCTGCGTCCGGCCCAGCGCAAAGACTGGGATCAAGCAGCGCCCGCCACGACGGACAACCGACTCGACCTGGCCCGTGAAGCGGCCCTCGCGTTCAAAGACGCTCTGGTGCACCTGCACGCCGTACGTCGACTCGACAATGAGCACGTCGGGCGAGACGCCGGGGATTTCGGCGGCTACATATGCATCATGAGCTCGTTGGTCGTCAAGGAAGAAGACGCGTACCCATGAGATGGCGGTCGTTCTCGAGCGAGTAGTCGCCCGTGTACAGGACCTTGACGCCACCAATCTCGATGAGAAACATGCACGCGCCGAGCACATGGCCCGCGTTGTACGGCGTGAACTTGATGCCGTTAAACATCTTTTCCTGGTGAAAGTCGATGATCTCGACCTTGGCGACGCAGTTGGCGAGGTCGCGGTCGTCGTAGATCTGGTCGTCGACGCTAATGTTGGAGACGCGGAGGAAGTCGCGCAGCATCATCTGCATGACGGCTTTCGTCGGGTGCGTCATGAAGATCTTGCCCTTAAAGTTGGTCTTCTCCGTAAAGTGCGGCAGCGCGGCCACGTGGTCAATGTGGAAGTGCGTGATGAGGAGCAAGTCGATCTCTTCGGCCTCGATCGAGTCGAAGAACGGCAGCGACCCATGCCCCGAGTAGCCCTAGCGTCCGCATGAGTCCACGGGTCGGCGCATGCAGCATGGCCTACCGGGTGGACGCCGCAGTCGAGCATGATGGTCTTGCCCTGGAACTTGAGGATGATGCACGAGCGGCCGACCTCATTGCCCGCGCCCAGTGGCATGATGCGCATGACATGGCGCTCGTCCACGATGTCGGTCTCGCCCTTGCGCTTCGCCATGGCAGCCACGGATATTCGGATTTGAGTTTCGACTTGGAGTGTATGCGTTGTGAGAGGTTCCGGCCAATATCTGATGTCAATGCCATCCCAATCAGCAATCAACTGGTCACAGCGGGTCCCGCCATCATGCGACGGCCATCGCACTGGCCATCGGCGCCGACCTCTCGATGACCGACAGCGAGCGTACGCGACCTCTTGGCTGGCGTACGTAGCAAGCAGGAGACGCATGCGGATGACGTATTCGGTCGACATTGCCCTTGGTGCCTGGTCAGTTGATTGCCGGACTCGCCGCCTCGTCGCAGCATGGTGTCGCGTACCGTAGAGGGCGACGGAAGCAAGGAGCAAGCGACCTTGTAGTGCAGTCGGTGGCTGGCACTACGAGTAGCCGTTCCCGCCACAGGCCGTGCTTCCCTGGCCCCGACCAGGCTCCGAGCAAGCCGGACTGGCCTTGCACGCGGCTCCTCCTCTTGGTCTACCGGGCCGAGGTTCAACGAGTGGCCAACTTGGCGTTCGAATATGCGGTATATACACTGCATTACTGGCCCTATACGTGGCATAGCACTCGGGCTCTCTGTGCCAACACTCCCTCCTCCTACCCTCCTCCTTGCGGACAAGCCACGGTGGGCCTTTTGCCCGTCCTCGTGTCGCCGCTCGTGGTCAAGTGATAGGTGATGGGCGACTCGGCTCCGCGATACGAGTCGCTACGTACCAGGTATAGCTAGCGATCAACTTGGATGTAATCGGCATCGCTCGCCTCCATGACGCTGTGGTAGCCACATGTGTCGACCACCTGTCGCACTGGAGGAGGTCAGTCGGAGGCGCCAAGATCACACTGCAAACACGGCGTCTGTCAAGTCGCCAGCTGGAGTGGACCCAGTGATGGGACGTGCGAAAGAACGAGTGGTCAGTCGCCTTGGAAGGCCACACCACGTGTGGTGTCATTTTGGTATTCTCGATTCGACGACGATGGAATGCATTTTCCGAGACTGTGTCGCGCCCGCCGTACCGTTTACGACCAAGTGCCAGTACCACCGCAACCGCGCCAAGTGCCGCGTCGCGGGCTGCTGCAACCAAGTGTACGCGCGGCACCTCTGCGTCTCGCACGGCGGTCGGCGGCGCTGCCAGTTCCCAGAGTGCCGCGCCAACGCCCGCCTCGGGCTCTTTTGCACGCAGCACGGTGGCAAGAAGCAGCGCTGCCAAGAGCCGGGCTGCACGAGCCTCGCGCATGCCAAGGGCAAGTGTGTGCGCCACGGCGGCCGCCGACCGTGCAGCGCCGACGGCTGCCTCACCCATGCGCGCAAGGGTGGCTACTGCTGGCGCCACCGCGACCTCTCCGAGTCGATGATGGCACCGGCGACCGACGACGCGTTTGCACCGTGGGGCCTCTTCGAAGGGCCGCCGTCGACCGAGATTGACGGGCTCGACTATGCGATTCTGCAGACGCTGCTCGTGAGCCCCGACGCGACGCCGGCGCTGCACGTGCCCAACTAGTCGTTTGTGTGCGGTTTTCCATAATTTAAATTGAACGTAGCTGCATGTTTACGCACCCGAGGTCTAGGATACTGGACCCGAATCGTGACAGGTTGCTGACCACTTGCTGATCGGCGCTGTCGACAGACCCAAACCTCAGAGTGTGCCTCCTTCCAAAGACGTTCTTGCTTGGTACCTTGGACGTCGACTACTTCTCTCGGTAGTCGAACAACGGCAGGTGTATCCTGGTCAGCTTGCGATACTGTACCAACACTGCGTAGCGGATATTCTTCTGCCCCGAAACCCGTTGCACTGACGTTCCGTGCCTGACACGACAGTATAGCTAGTATATTCGCCAGGAATAGCCACTTCCCATTGCGTCGAGAAGCCAAGTGCGAACCAACGCGCGACGTCACGAGCCTCTGGTCGCCAGCAACCGATGAGAATCGCGTGCGCGCACACCACATGGAGCGCCTGGGGCTACGAATAATCCTCCCAGTCAGTGTCTGGGCCAAAGTTGTCAAGTCGTTTGGGCCCTTGCATCGTCACGGCGTACCAGGACACGTCCAGTGACCGCCAATATTTGCCGCCAGCTCTGCAGGCCGACGCGAACATCGACCGGCCATGTCGAGTTGTCGGTCCCACGGTCAACTTAATATTTTATTGAAGTTTCCAGTCGAGCTCCTAGGCGAGAACATGCACTACCTGGTATCTACTACATAGATCCGACATAGTCAACGCCATTTCAGCAGATTACGAAAGGCGAGTTTGCATCACAAGGTACTAACTACATAAATCGTCCTGGAACGCCTCGGGAGTTCACAGTGTATACGTACTTGCGGTAAGTACTTAGCGCGCCGCTACTGAGCGCCATTCGACGTGGCCCGTACGACGACTAGACGCGATTTGCGCACAATAATTGAGCGCTGCCACGTCGACGGCGTGGCATGCCAACGACCTCGTCATGCGCACAACCAAATGAACCGTGGGACTCGGTAACTGGTCTGTCCTGCGTCGTAGCGCACGGTGCGTTGCGCATGGCCATTAGACGCTTGCTGATAGAAGCGGCGGAGTGTCCACGGGGCAAAGACGCCAAGCTAATCAGTACGCCAACGCCGCATCCAAAGTACTTGATAGCCTTCTCAGTGCTTAGGTGTCGCCACGATCCGTGTCATGAGCCGACGCGTGCATTGCAGTCCCACAGCGCCACCAAGCGAACTAGTCATATCATTTTGGAGGCAAATGCATTGCTTGGAGTGGGACCGCGCCCACGACCCGTGCCGCGAGTACTACGCAAGTACTTGGCGACGGACGATGCGTCATGCGTTCTCTACTTGTACGCGAACGTCGATCTTGGTGGCATTGCTAGGTGCATTTTTCAATCGACTACCCGACGACATGATGCCAATCGAGTGCTGCTTTCATGGCTGTGCGAGTCCGGTGGTGTCGGGCTCGATCAAGTGCCGCCTGCACCGTCATCGACTCACGTGCGCCCACGAGTGCTGCGGCAACCAAGTGTACGCACGCGGCTACTGCGTCCGGCACGGCGGCAAGCGCACATGCAGCGTCGACGGCTGCGATGCGAATGCTCGTGCTATGGGCTTCTGCTCGCGCCATGCAGTACACTCGACAAAGAAGCCGTGTGTCGAACCCAACTGCGTCAACTTTGCACACGCCAACCAGCGCTGCGTGCGCCACGGCGGCGGCCGTAAGTGCAAACTCATGCACTGCAGCACGGTGGCGCGCATTGCAGGCTTTTGTCAGCGCCACGCCAAGCTCTTGCAACCAAAGTTAACCAGTGTCGCTCCCCGTCTCGCCGACGACGTCGGTGCTGCCAATGATGCCTTGCGGCACTTGAATGATCTCGATGACCTCGATGCCTCGATTTTAGACTGTGTCTTGAGCTGCACGCGGGCGTTTGCTCAACCGTCGTAACGTCGTGGGTAACTTCGATCCAACTTTAAGAAAACGGTATTGCTTTGGAGTGTCTGAACTAGTTACTAGAAGCATGAATGCAAGGGTATCTAACATGTAGATCTCTTGTATGCCCTTGATAAGTGTGAGCTTGAAGGCGTGTTTGGACGCCGCTACTGGGACGCGCTTCGAGATTCGCAATGCTTTAACCCTCCCACACCCGATGGCCTATTTAAAGCGATACTTGATCGGTTGAACGGTCCAAGCCCAGTCTATATGTATACTAGTACTAAATACGCTGTGAAGACAGCGCACGTCGTCATTTCGTTTTTGGTTTTGTGATCATTGTGGAGTGGTGCGATTCCAAGAAGTGGCAGAAGTTTTTTGCGCAGAAGGAGCAGAACAACAGAAGGAGAGAAGAGGAAAGGGATAGAACGACGAAGAGGCCACGACAAGCCGAGCAGAAGAGCCATTTCCGATTTGATCCTCTTACGAGTAAGCGATCCCGCCACGCCACTCATAAAAACGGCAGCCAGTGCCTAGAAACTCTTGCCCCCAGCACTTCAAGCTCGGCGTTCGAGAAGCGAAATGGCACAGCAAGGCATTACACCGCGTGGCGGACCCAACACGAACCAAAAGTAACCGAAGAGTGTACGACGCGACCAGGCATCGAGTGGTGAGGTAGTAAATTATTTTGTATACAATAAAGGGTCTAAATTTATGCCAAGAACGGTCGCGTCGAGTCCAAGACGCACTCAAGGATCGAGTCGTCGAGAGCTTCGTACGTCGTGTCCAAGTACACGTCGTTGGCGATCCACTCTTCGGTTTCCATGAGGGCCAATAGGTCGCAATCGAACGAACTCGGCTCCGAGAGCAGTTGCTTCGAGTGACGCTGGCAGTAGCCCGCGATACGTGCGAGGGTTTGGCACTCGTCGACCTTGCACTTGCGGCCACCGCCGTGGCGCACGCAGCGCTGGTTGGCGTGGGCAATGTTGGCGCAGTTGGGCTCAATGCACTGCTTCTTCGTGTTGGTGAGGCCGTGGCGGGAGCAGAGACCGCCCGTGCGGGCGTTCGCAGTGCAGTCGGCCACGAGGCACTGCTTCTTGCCGCCGTGGCGGACACAAAGGCCGCGGGCATAAACTTGGTTGAAGCAGTCTTCGATCGCGCAGCAAAGGCGGTTGCGGTGGAAGGCACACTTGTTCGTGTCCATCAAGGCGGGGCTGTCACAGCCGTTGAAGCAGCAGACCGAGGACGTGTTCATGTTGGGACGTCGTGTGCTTGTCAAAGTCAATTGTAGAATGAGCAGGACGCATGCGATGACAACTTGTCTTGCGAGCGCGACCCCACAACAACTCGACAACGTCGATCGAGTAGCCAGTGCGATGAATTTTGGCCTCACGCACAATGATGGTCTTTGCGTTCGCTAGCACTTGCAATTTGTATGTAAACAGAATGTGCAAGTGATGACAACAGCGCGCGAATCAGCGGCGTGCAAGCTTGTAAAAGGGCGCGTTTTAAAACAATTGCATACCTGCGCATCACGGACACAGAGAAGTACGGAATTGCTCTCCGACGGTTTAAACTATAGACCGCGTCGTCAATTGAGATAATATCGGCACTGTATACACGAGGGCATTAGCGTCATTCGTAATATCGCAACTACCTTCGCTGATTTTACAGGCGTACAAAAGATCTATGGTGGACATTAATAAGACAATCATGTCGTCGGTAGTGTCATGTACTAGTACAGTGTATTTTACAAAATGCACCGTGTATTCACTTGGCAACTCAACGGCAAAGTCAAGTGGCAAGAGTGGCATCCCAGATGGCATCCTAAGCACCACATGCTTTTACAAGTGACGCGACAACATGTGATACTGGGTCTGGACGTGCTCTGAACGTGTGCGCCAGCAGTATCTGTCTTGCTACAATTGACAATTGGCTGGCGGAGTTTGCTTCACAGACGACTTTTCACACTGGTCGAAAGATTCGAAAACGGTTTGATCATAACTGGAAGCGTGCGTAGGATGGACCAGGACTCTTTTCTTTATCGGGTTCCTGTTGCAAAGTATCACTTAGTGCAGCGTTGGACTTGACTGTGGCACTTTCAAAGTAGCTGCGACGCCGTGAGTGCTGACGCCGTGGCAACGCGGATGTTGTAATGTTGACGTTTTGAAGCGTTTGGTCGTTGCTTTGAAATTGGATGAGCTTTCGTAGCGACCTAGGTCGTCAGTCCTTGCCATAGCAAATGTGTCTTGCGTGTAGATTGCATCCATGGGCAACTTGGCGCGCTACTACACGTTAATGCGTCCATTTCCATTCAAAAATGCGAGCCATTGGCGATGTGTCGCATTCTAAATGAAGCACAAACGTAGGTGTCAGTAGGATCATGTGCGGCGCGTGTAGACGCTTGTGTGGGTCGGTGAACACTCCATTTCCACGACTAAAGCGACGTTTCTCCCTGCGCTTCGTGTGCACATCGATTGCAATCCAGCGTTTACTAACTGCGCTTCGAAAAACGGTCTCCAAGATTAGTTCAAGACAGGCAGCGTTGTGTTTGCTAACCAAAATGAAACGTACGGACAATGTCAATGACACCACCCAACGAAGGAGTATTACTCCTTGGAGTCGTTATCACCGACGTCCACACAGGCTCACTTGTCTGCGTGGCGACGTCAAGCTTTATGATTGTGTGTCAAACAGCCTCGATTTGACCGTGGGACGACGATGGGCTCTGATTGGTACGTTTGTCGATTGTTTGTTCTGAAGGCCATCTGATTGGTCGTTCACTACGAGTGTCCACGGCACTCACAAACATGCGGTTTCCAGCCTCTCGTATGTTACGAGCTCGCTCACGCTCCCTCAACAGGAGCTCAGAGAATTAGCTCCAACATGGTTTTCTATACGCTGAGCGATCCTTCTTGCAGCCCATTCGCTTAAACTCCAGTTGATGCGTCTTGAAACGTAGTTCTTTCTCCAGGCCACGTCGGCTGCATGGAGCCGACTGTGCGCACTGGTGTACATGTAGCGTGATGTCAGCTTTTCCTCACCCACCAGCATTGATGACGGCGCCAGGAAGGCGGAAGGTAGGTAAACGGTAGTTGTACGTCCGACGTGACCGTCGCCTCAAGTACCGTGTGAGTTCGAGCTCTACCGCTTGCCTAGGGTGAGCAACGCATTGGACGCTGGCTGTGAAGCGTCCTTCACTTTGGAAGTACTAGTAGGGGAGGAAACAGTGCGGACTTCTGGTGCAGGCTCAATAGCTACAAATGATGTTCCAAAGTTTCATAGTGCAAACCACGTACCTAGACAACAGGTACGGACACTGTACGGCTTGTACTACCATTAGCGCACGTGTGGTTATTAATCGCCTCATAAAATCGATGATCCAGTCGTACACAGTTGGCGCAAGAGCTCAAGGAGGTGTAACACAGCATCGCGCAGTTCAACTCTATCCTGGAAGCAAGAGGTCAAGTGCGCCGGGATAGTGCCCGGGATTCCATCCATCACTCGTGTGTGTGGCCGCAAACTGCTGCTACTAGTGATGGGCCATCGAACCCCAGGTGGATTCGCTACGCTCGGTGTTTGTATGTCAAGAGTTGTCGCTGTGTGGACGCTGATTAACCCCCTCCTGGACGTTATTACTTGTTTGAATCCAAGACCAGCCGGGACATGACCAATTGAAATGGCACTTTTCAGGTCGTCTCTGATTGGCCCAATTTTGGATTGCTTGTCAAACGCCGCATCCCATTGGTCTTCGGCGTGGCCGCTGTCGGGCGAGCCTGTTGTCTGGGGCGCGGCCAACTGCAACCGAAGCACACGAGGTGGACTCATTTTACTTTCTGCCACCGCACCTTCACGTCCATGGATCAAGCTCCAAGCATCGCTTGCCGCTTTAACGGCTGCGAAAACATCGCACTACCCAACCTCGCCAAGTGCGACTTTCACCGCCATCGGCTGCCGTGTCAAGTGCACGACTGCAACAACATTGTGTACGCTCGGAAGCTCTGCGTGCGCCATGGCGGGAAGCCTCAATGTAGACACGACGGCTGCGATGCCAACGCCCGGGGTGGCGGCTTCTGCGCCCGCCACGCCAAGGTGCACGTCAAGCACGTCTGTCTTGAGCCGCTCTGCAACAGCGTCGCCCACGCCAAAAGCAAATGTGTGCGCCATGGGGGCGGACGCCGCTGCCGCGAGCCCGAGTGCCATACGCTTGCTCGCTCGGGTGGCTTTTGCCGCCGCCATGCCGACGGTCCAATGAAAATGGATGACGAGCCGAACTGGCACGACATTGAGGTCGGCATGGACCATGTTCCGACCTTTGAAGACCTGGACCAATCAATCTTGGACTGCATCTTGGCAACGACAGAGCCCATGATGACGACCATGCTGTTTTAGAGCATCGTATGCGACTGTTATTTAGTACTATTTAATGAACGACCTGTACTTTCGAAAGCTCCTCCAACTGTTTTTAAATTGTGTCAAACCATGATGCACTGTTGTTGCTGTTGTGAACGTGTGCCGCTACGCTTGAATGCGTGGGAGTTAGCGCCAGCACTTGACCGTTGGGAGTGACGCACTGGACAATAAAATGATCGTACAGCCACGGTACTGTAGTGCTATGCAACGAAGACGATGCTTTTCGGCACTTTAGCTACCTCTGGGAATGGATAACGCTGCCGCACAGGGACACGTATTTTCGGGCCGGCGTTGGGCTGCGGGCAACGATTTCTGGGAGACAGGAGGCGGTTTCCACCATCTTCTATTCAACCTAAACGGCATCAACGCAACTTTGAGCACGAGCTTACATACTCGTGCAAAAGGGGGGAAACCTTCGGTAATGCGAACCACATTGATTTATTTTGGAAATCATTTGCGGTCGAAAAGGATTGCATTCGAGTTGACGCGAGATGGCGCGACATGCGGTCGTCCATTTAAGTCCGTAATGCACCTAAAGCGGTCAACGACACACATACAAATATCATGTAGTAACAATCTCAGAAGCGTACTTAACGCGGGCACTGAATTCTGCCGTCCACTAGCTCCGTCCGACACACCTTGAATCAAGATCAACACCAAGGCTTGGTGTTGATTTTGGTCGACGCAACGAACATGCGCCAGTCCCATGGTCCGTATCAAGCAAATACGCTCTTTGTTGTAACTGCGCAGAACATCTTCGAGGATTCGCGAGTTTCAACGGTTTGAAGGTACTCCAAGAACGTCGCCACCACGTCAGCTAAATCCAATCGTCTCTGCTATGGCAAGGGATACAAAATTGGTTATTGCATTGGCCATGGTCACGATGGCGGACGCAATCAGCGCATCTACACTCCACGCACGATCAGTTTGTGCACAGTATGATGAAGCCACAAGCCACAAGGCGTTCAAGGTAGCGCGAAACCATGTCTGGTCGTGTCCACGCACCCCGCCTGGTCGACCCTCATTAGCGACGCGAGTTACCTCTTCCGAATACTGGTAGAAAGGATCGTGGCTTGCCTTTGTCTCTACCACGATCTCGCGTACCAACGCAAAGTGCAATTTGGCTCGGTACAACTAAACGGCGGCGGTCCGAACTTGCTGAATTTTTGGCGTTTTCCGGATTTCCGGCGAGTTGATCAGGTCCAAGAGTGGGACAAGCCAGTTTTGGGATGACAGGTCGAGCGCAACAGTGGGCCGTTATTCATCTTCAACCTTTGTCGCCAATTATTTCAAGCCCACGTGCACCAAGCACTGTACTGGTCCATGTATGGGGCTTACCGAAACTTCAGGGCCCATCACTCATGCGCGCCATAGTGCGCTGAATGGTCGATCTCATGCATCGATATTGTCCAAAATGGATCTCCTTGTGGAAGAAGACCATCCGATCATTTTCCATTTCATCGTCTTTCCTCCGCACCAAAATGGACGCGCAGTGTTGCTTCCGAGGCTGCTCCAAGCCAGCTATGCCGCAGTCCAACAAATGTGCCTTCCATCGCAACCGGCTCTGCTGCGCCGTGAGTACGTGCAACAATCAAGTGTACGCGCGTGGTCTGTGCGTTCGCCACGGCGGCACCAAGCCGTGTCTCGCCACGGACTGTGACGCAAACGCCCGCACCGGCGGCTACTGCTCGCGCCACTCGCTCGTCAACACAAAAAAACAGTGCATTGAGGCGGGGTGTGCCAACATTGCGCACTCGCGCAAGAAGTGCGTGCGTCATGGCGGCGGGCGCAAGTGCAAACTCGTCGAGTGCGAAACGCTCGCGCGCATCGCAGGCTACTGCCAACGGCACTCCAAGCAGCTGCTCAAAGACGCCGTCGCGACCAACGAGGTCGTTCCCGACACGTGGATCGAGGACGCCATGCCCATGGACACGCTGGACGACCTCATTCTCGACTTTGTCTTGATCACGACGACGACCGGGCTTGTGGCCTCGGGCGATAGTGTATACAAGGACATCGCGTAATGCGTCCCCGGTGCTCTTTTCTACGTTTATAAGTTATACATGGCAATTGAATCCAATTCAACATACGTTTCGTCTTGGGTTGAGCCGCTTTTAGAATGCTGTTCCTTCGTTTCCTAGTTCACCCAAGCTAAAAGAAGCTAGATCGCGCTGCACTTTGGTGCATGCGGCTTTGGCACCGGTGATTCGATACGTGTTATAGATCGTTGCGCCAAATCACCATTTCGCTCTGCCTGGAAAAATCCAATTGCAATAGTTACATGTTCTCCTCGTTCCACTTGACAGACATACCTTACCTTACGGTCCAGCTGTGAGCTCCCCCAGTGGCCAGCACAGTATCATACGACCACATGTACTACTGGCCTGTGCATCACGACAAATATATCAGCAGCTCGTCGCACGGTAACAAGCATGCCGCCACGCTTGTTTGGGCCGAGATAAAGAGCGAGAGCGCAGTTCTCGGCAGAGCCAGTAATGAGTAGTTATCTCGGGCTTAGCGCTTCTCCTTCTAATGTCCGCTGAGCTTCTTGCGTCCTCGAGGCTAGCTATACAGCACCACCATTGAAACCAGGCAACGACATGTGCACAGTGATATTCATATGAGATATTAGTTGTCTCGCGCTCGATTACAAATCGTAGACTTCCATTTCCAATGCACTAAGTGGTGGTGTCATCGGCTCGATCCGCGGGGAGTCGATCAGTAGGCACTGCAAAATCTTGTTGTCGAGCTCCTGCAGGTCATCGCTGGCCGCCATATCGACTTGGACGGGGCTTGCGCGTAGCGACACCTTGGATGGATTGTGGCGGCGGCAAAAGCCACCCGTTCGTGCCAAGCTTACGCAAAGCTCTTCTCCGCAACGCCGTGCGCCGCCGTGCCGGACGCACTTGGACCGAGAGTGGGCGAGGTTCCGGCAGTGGGGCTCCGAGCACGCGCGCTTGGCGGTAGGAAGCGCGTGCCGCGAGCAGTAGCCGTCGATGCGGGCGTTCGCACTGCAGTCGTCTTGGGCGCACTGCAACTTGCCGCCGTGGCGCACGCAAAGCTGGCGCGCGTAGACAATGTTGTTGCAGCCGTCAATGTGGCACACGAGACGATGGCGGTGAAACTCGCACTTGCCGAGGACCGGCAAGGCGCGCTGGGTGCAGCCGTTGAAGCGACAGCTCGTGGACGACGGTGCGCGCATGTTGTGTGAAATGGAGAAATGACGTGAGCTGCCAGCCTCTTTTGCGCGCGCTCCAGTACGCCAGGTCAAGACCAATGGTGCTGGCGGACTGGATTTGCACAGATACTTGCGCGGCAAACAACTCATATGGACCGCCATGTCGTGCAGCGTTGTCGTCCCTCGAACGCAGCCTGGTTTCCAGTGGAGCAGACTCGAAGGAACGCCTCTGTACTTTGATGGTGCTTGGACACCGCGTTTGACCGAGTTGCTCGCTTGCGCTCGACCTTGTATGTCCCTAGATCGCGACAAACGCAGTCTTGCGTCGACGTGCACTGTACCCCCCGTAGAGTGTTAACTATCAGATTCCAAGGTGCATAGTGGAATTCCGGTCGAGTTCAAACTGCCATCCATACCTATTGGCCCGCCACGATTGGCGGTGCTCGGGTTAGTGGGCCTTACTTGTCACGGAGAATCAAAGTGTGGCAGCGCATTACTTGTCCTAGAGAATCCAAGATCCGTGCGTTCAGTTGTGAAAGCCGACAACTCGATCAGTAGTCATCATGCCGAGATCCATTTACTGGTATGCTGAAAACGATCGTCCGACCCAGCCATACTCTGCATTTGTATACTGCGCGATGTTGTCGATACGCGCTAGCAACTCATACATGCGCGAACTCGGCAAGCGACAAGAAAAGAATCACGTGATAAGTTAGCATTTTACAAAAAGGGCTTTACAACGCGTACCATTCGACATCGATCGTGGTCGGCGACGACGACGCCGTGTCATTCGCACACGTCTTGATCAAGCAGTCCAAAATGGCATCGTCGAGCGGCTCGATCGCGTCGATCCAATCCAAGGCCAAGTCGAATGCATCGGCGCACGTCACTTCCTGGCGATGCCGCACGCAGCAGCCGCCCTTGCGCGCCAGTGTACTGCAGCCGTCGACGTAGCAGCGACGCCCGCCGCCGTGGCGGACGCACAAGCCCTTGGCGTGCGCGGCGTTCGTGCAGAGCGGCTGCGAGCAGAGGCGCTTGCTGCGGACCTCGGTGTGGCGGTAGCAAAACCCGCCGGGCCGCGCGTTCGCATCACAGTGGTCGTGGGCGCACTTGGGCTTGCCGCCGTGGCGCACGCAGAGCTGGCGGGCGTACACAATGTTGTTGCAGCGCGCGACGGAGCACGGAAGGCGGTGGCGGTGGAAGTTGCACTTGCCCAAGCCGTCGATCGCTGGGTTGCTACACCCGTTGAAGCGGCAGATCTCTTGAGAGGAGGACGTCGTTTGCATGTCTTGGAGCGAAAATGGAAATGAGCTACACACAGAGTCGCGTAGGTGCCCATGGCGCGGACGAATCGCAGGAAACAACTCAGCGACGTTGTTCAACAACTCATGCAGTTTGCACCATCTGGCGCTGCATTCGGATCCGGATAAGATGGCGGCGCGTGGCCCGGCAACGAAACGACGTCGAGACCGCATTGGACGCCAGCGCCGATCGATACAAGCGACCGCAGCCAAGAATAACGTATATACATGTACGAGGACCCGATAGATTCCACATACATTTTTTTTGGCTATCGATGCCGTCCTTGGAATGATGCGTGCACCACGCACGAAGGCCGACTGGGGCCTCCTCGGAATTTTCAACGTGCAACAATTTTGCCACAAGCAGGCCACAACAACTTGCATTTCTACGTGCTTCCAACAAGAGAAAGGCTCGGGCTCGCCCTCTTTATCCAATCGCGCGGACTAATGTTCATGTTATCCACGAGCTGCACACTGCCAGAGTTGCAATTGCACGTGTCGTGTCGACCAGTCGACAGCATTCGTTGACGTTCTTCTCGTCGTTTGAACGTGCTCGCGACGCAATATCTGAAGCTCTTCGCGTAGTTGCGACTGGGATTCCAGCACTTGTGTGCGTTAGAACGGGTGTGTTGTGGTGGGCTACGGCGCTTTCACTTTTACGTGGCAGCATTTGCTCGAGTCCGACGCGACACAATGCGGATAAGTGTGTCCATGCGTAAATGTGCACTTTGGTACGAAGAACTGCACTGCGGTGGGCTTGTAAAACGCGCTGCGCTTTGCCAATCACGCAACCGGATCAGCGGTCCACAAGTCGGGAAAACAACAAAACGACCATCACTCATGGTATCCGGAGTTGGGCCATGAAATTCACTCCGTGGACGAGTTAGTTGTTCTTGCTTCTGTTGCCGTCGCCAGCATCGATGTCGATGTCGAAAGAGACAGAAACACAACATGTTGTCGCGTGGTCTACACGTTGTCGTGTGATATGGAAGAAAAGATACTTGCGACCGCATTGTGAAAATCTCAGTGTCTCGGGCAGACCACCAACCACCGACGATGGACGCAACGACAATCAACTGCTGCTTTAACGGTTGCACGAACGTCGCGATGCCCGATGGCACCAAATGCACGTTTCATCGAAGCCGAGTGTGCTGCTCGTTTGAAAACTGCTTCAACCAAGTGTACGCGCGCGGCCTCTGCGTCCGCCACGGCGGCAAGAAGCAGTGCCTTGCCGACAACTGCGAGACAAATGCGCGCACGGGCGGCTACTGCTCGCGCCACGCGATCGTCGGGCTCAAGAAGCAGTGCATCGAAGAAGGCTGCGTCAACTTGGCGCACGCCAACCAGCGCTGTGTGCGCCACGGCGGCGGCCGCAAGTGCAAGTTTGGCGAATGCACGTCCCTCGCGCGCATTGCGGGCTACTGCCAGCGCCACTCCAAGCAGATTCTCAACGATGCGCCGGCGATCGATCCCGACCTCCTCGTCCTTTTGCAAGCCGAAGATTGGTTCGACTCGGACAGCTCGAGCACGACGTCGTCACTGGAAGACTTGGACCACGCGATTTTGGATTGCGTCCTTCAAAGCACCACAGATGGCAGCAACAGCACGTCGTGGGGACGTGACGAGAGCCTCGTGTGCTCTCAATGATACCTTCCGGTCTCGTCCTCAATCAACTTAACGTTAGGAATAATTTAGCCGTTCTTTATTCGTGCCATTATGATTTTGTCTGCCACGAAGTCCAAACTGGACCGAGGCCTGCTAGTTTGAGTGCCTCATGATGGAATATGGTTTTGGTTACGTTGTTGATGAACAGCGCGCCAATGTAGGTACAGTTCACACTGCATCGGTCATGACGATGGACATTTGACGCCAAGCGCGTTGCGATTAAATGTCGGCGATAGAGCCCAGTTGTCGAGGAGACGAGGGCAGAATGAAGTTGATGTGGTCACGGAGCAATCCGTCCTCGCGCGAGGCGTCGCTTGGGTGGTCTGCAGCAAGGGCTTAATCAATCGAGTAAACAACATACCGCGAAAGGTGGCCGTCTCGGGTGACACGAGGAGCGTTATGGCGCGAAACACTCGTTGCGAGCCTGCGAGGCAGCGCAGGTGCGTAAGACCTCCCTGTAAAGCGACTGCGCGGGGCCAGTGTCGCAGTGTCATCGCAGCTACCCTTACTCAAGGGTCAAGGGGTGTTTGAGCTTTCTAGCGTCTTTGCGATTCGTAACGTTCGACGACGGATTTCTCCAGCGAATAACATCTCATCGTTGCCAGTGGTGGAGCTGGTTTTGAGTCTCCACGCATGTACATGAACGGGATTCCCGTTGTCCGTGGCCAGGCCATGCACAGACGCGACTACACGATGCCAAATAACCAAGGGCATCCATCTTACGTCGATGTTATGGCCTTGGAATAACCTTGTGCTGGGAGCTTTGCACACTCACCTCGCAGGTCGATGCAAGGATCGCATCTACAGTGCAGCGCAGCCATTTGGAAGCCTGGCGCTAACGGACACAGCGGTTGAAATGCCAAGAGGTTCCTGGGGGTGTAAAGCGAATCCAACGCCGCGTCGAACGCGCCCGCGGGGTATGTTGCCGTTGCAACGAGAACTTATTGTATTACGTCCGCGGCGTCCATGGTCGCATCCACGAAGGGTGTTTCGTGTGCGACAGCGTGAGAGCGTGGATGCGGACGATGCAAACGCCGGGCGAAGCGTCTGCCGTACAGAGGTGCCGATCCGCGAGAGCTCGTGGAAAGCAGCGCACTGGCGATCAATCGCTGCGTTTCAGTCTGTTTTGCGAGCAACGTAAAAGCGTGCCAATGTCGAGTTACGTCACGTTCTTCGACGACGTCAAACACATTCGAGAAACGATTCCGCGCATGCCATAAGCGCCAGCTCCAAGCGCCGTGCGGATGCGTTGTCGTCGTACGCAAAGAGCGCCGCACGTTGCTCTTGGCTGCACGTCGCGGTTACTTTTCTATCGCGTGGCGACATCCGGATACGACGACGTGGCGGCGCGAGATTACACCGTGTAACCACCCGCCCATCTGCCCATCTGCACAACGTGGCCACGCGTCCTTTTCCGGCTCCGCGAAGACATCTGCGACAAGCTGGGGCGACCACGAAGTGCGAGTTAGTCACTGGCGGTTCTATGGGATGCTCACTTCGCCGCTGAGGGCGCTCGCTATAGAGAGGGCTTGCTCCGCCGCATTTGACGACAATGGCGCAACGTAGTCGGTACGTGAGGGTATGTATGCACGTGGCCGGCGAGTACTACACAGCCTCACCCTTCCGTGCAGCATCGTCGTGCCAGCTGCGTGACGTCAACACGACGGTTGGGGGTCGTATCTGAGTTCCTGTATACCG